GGAACCAACAAAAAGGATAAACCTACTGACCTCAACTTCATCAATGTGCCTGCCACAGATGCATCTGCTAATGACAGCACTGGTAAAGGTGGCCATCACAACATCCTTGTGGAGATGAAACCCTGTCTCACACTGTCATGCTGTGTGGCACTATGGCCATGCTGAATGATACAGACTTCGAACAGATCTAGCAATTCAAAGTATCCATGAGGTGTTATAGGCCATCAGCAGCAGAATTATGTTCCAACATGCAACCTCAAGTTCTGGCATTTCCTCTATTCAACCATTACCATCAAGCCAGAGATCATCCCTCATTCAACAAGACTGCAGGAGGGAATGCCAGGGGCAGCACCAGGCATACCTAAAAATCAGATGTCAACCTGGTGAAGCTACTAAACAGGAATACTTGCAGCAGTGCAAAAGCTAAGAAGTGCCAAGTGGATGTTCTCCAAAATGGAGCATGAAGAAAGAATTCACAATTTAATCTTATTGCTCAACACAAACAATACTCTGGTGCATTGGTCAGGTGTTGTATCATACATTTTACTAGGCACATCAGGAAGAGTTCAGACATAAGAAAGTGACAATTTCAGGCCACTTGATGCTCTGAACAAAGATTCCACTGTATATGGACAATGTCACCATATTCTATTCAGAGCCTCTGTCTATTCACAGACTGATGAATTAATAGTTTGACCTGGGAGCCAAATTAACTTGTGACAAGATTAAGGCCATGTTCTTTGGATACAAAACCAACTAATCCTTTGTCACTTTACTATAAGATTAGATTATCAGAAAGCGCAAAGGACTCAAAATATTAACTCTGTTTCTTTCTCTACATATGTTGTCAGACTTGCTGAGTCTCTCCAACACCTTTGCCTTTTATTTCAGACCTCCAGCATCTGCAGGGTTTCGCTAGAATATTATTTCAATAGAAAGGGACTTCAGAAGGCTATGGATTAGGATCTGTGTGCCCTTATGCACCAATCACAAAACATTAGCAGGTACAAAGGATAACTAGGAAGGTAAATGGAATGTTGGCCTTTACCAAAAGGAAGATGAAACATAAAAGAAGGGAAGTAGTTGCAACTTATTGGTGAGACCATGCCACTGTGTACAGTTTCAATCTCTTTAATTAAGAAAGGATATACTCGTTTTGAAGGCAGGTCACAGAAGGATCATTAGGTTGATTCCTGAGACAAAAAGGTTGTCATATGAGGAAACATTTAGCAAGTTGGTCCTCTACTCATTGGACTTCAGAAGAATGAACGTTGACCTTTGGAAACAGATAAACTTCAATGGAGATTGGCATGTTCAATATTGTGAGAATGTTTCTCTTCGTGTGGCAATCTAGCAGAGGATACAGTGGGTCTCCCATTTAAGATGAAGATCTTTCTTCTCTCAGAGGGTGGTTCAAGTTCTGGAATGCTCTACTGCAGACAACAGCAAAGACAAGCCATTGAATTTGTCCACAATTGAGTTAGATAAATTTTTGATCTTCAAGGGTTTTTGGCAGTGGGGGAGAAGGCAGGCAGAAAAAATGAAGTTATGGCCATAGACAGATCATAGACAGATCAGCCATGATCTATGTGCATAGTGGAATGATCTTAAGATGCCAAATTGTTTACTTCTGTTCCTACTCATTATGAAGAGGGTCAAAATCATTTGGCAGGGCACATTATTGCTAGAACTTGAAAATATTACTAAAGTGTATCTTGAATGGTGGTGAAAACAGCTCCCACATTCCCTTCAATGCACACTCAAATAATTAGCACCACTATATACAGCCTGCTAGCTGCTGATGTTTGGGAAATGTCTGACACCCATCTGATACTGTATACACCTATGCTCAATGGAATGTTCCCTGGGAACTCTACCAAAGCAAACATCAATTTGTCCTAGAGGACCATCAACTTGGTGAAAGACCTCAGTTCTTGTTCATAACTAGTAGTGCAGACTGCCACTTTCCAAGATGGTCCAGAATTTAAGTGCATTCCCTGGGGCTATACACACCAAAGAATATGTGACATGAAATGTAAGTTCTTATTGTAAGTAAAACCTGTAATTGTAAGTGCAATCTGGCTGTCTGACGACCATCACCTAAATGTCTGAGAGCTATCACCTATATGAACTTTTGAAAGACATTAATTAACAAGTCATCTCTGTATTCAACATTCCATTAACGACAATGGAGAAGTTGCAAAGACTGGAGGTGTAATTAAAGCGTTAAGACTGTGGCCAACTGACACTCCCATAAACACTGGTAGATACTACTGATGTAGGTGGAGGACTATGGGTGTTCACAGATGGTGTTCCCCTCCAAAGACGTTCTAATATTTTAAAAATACAATGTGTCCACATCTGCCAAGGTGAGAAGAATCTGAGCTGACAATGGTCTGCAGTCACAAATGTGGCCATCTGATCACCGTAAATCTGTGAAGCAGAGATTTACAAGAGTACTTTTATTCTTTCATTTGATATAGGTGTCACTTGCAAGGGCAGAGTCACTCTGGACTTGAAACGCTAACTCTGTTTCTTTCTCCGCAGATGCACCAGAACTGCTCAGTTTGCCCATTATTGTTTTTATTTCAGATTTTTAGCATCCGCATTATTTTGCTTTTAGTTAGGAATAATCTAAGTAGAAAGTTAATCAGAGACAAAATTGGTGGGATTGTTCAAAAATACAGTTATATGCCACAATGATTGATGTAATAATATACTAGAAAATTAAAGAGCTTTGGGTTAAAAGCTCTTTTCTCATCCCTACTTTTCTTAAATTTTGCAATTAAATAGATATTTCTAATTTACCTAAATGAGATGTCAAAACTCAATTATGTAGAATTTAGGAATATCCCTACCTGTACCATGACATTAGAATATTAAATCCACTATCCTCTGTCCCAAAAACTCTAGAATACTGCTCTTTTAGCTTCTTGACATTGCTATTATCTAAGTAAATTGTTTTCTCTGCAAACAATTAAGCCATAACACTGGGGTTGATCATTAAGGTCAACTTAGCCCCCTAACCAAGATAATAACAAATTCCAACTATCTATGGAACAGCTTTCTTTACTTATCCATCACGGTCTAGAATAAATTGCTAACAATGGTTTTCACAAATGTTTTGTGAGTAAAAATTTTCACTCAGAAATTTTACAACATCTTATTCAATTATGTGCAGCTATTAATGTACCATCATTTTGGGCCAACAGCACACATGAAATTACCTACATACTAGCTTGGCTCAATTGATGATATTCACCCAAGTCAGAAAACTGAAAGTTGAAGCCACACTGTAGATGTGAACATATAACCTAGACATACATACCAGGAGACTGCTGCACTGTCTAGAAATATCGTCTTTCAAATAAGAAAGGTCCCGTCTGCCTGCTCAGATGAATGCAATGATATTCCATGACATTATTCGAAAAAAAGTGAGAGTTTCTCCATGCATAGGCCCTCGTCCCTCTCTCACAAAATACCACTAAAACCAGTTTGTCTACACATTTGTCTCACTACTTCTTTATGAATATTCTGTACATAAAAATGCTTGCCATGTTTATCTACAAAACAAAGACCAAGAATTCATTAGTAATCCATTAACTGCAGGGCACTTTGTGGCCTCTGAAAGATGACATGAGATGGAGTTGTTGGTTGTTTCGCCGAGCTGACTGGCTTTCATGCAAACGTTTCGTCTCTCTTCTAGGTGACATCTTCAGTGGTGTCTAGCTTCCTTTGAAGCACTATTGTTCTGTCCTGCTCTGAATTTATATGGTCCGGTCTGTCATGGTGGGCAGTCTTGTTTCCGGTTTTATACCATGGTGGTATGTAGATGAGGTCTATTTCAACATGTTGTTTATCGCACCGGTGGGTGAAAACCAGGCCTCCAGGAATTCTTGTGCATGTTTTTGTTTTGCTTGTCCTAGTACAGTAACTTTGTCCCAGTTAAACTGATGTCCTCCTATGTCGGAGTATATTGAAATGAGGGAGAGTTGGTCATGCCGTTTTCATAGAATCCCTAGTGTTGGAACAGGCCATTCGGCCCAACAAGTCCACACGGCCCCTCCGAAGAGCATCCCACTCAGACGCATTCCTCTACCCCAGCATTTCCCATGTCTAACCCACCTAACCTAAACATCCCTTGGCACTTTAGCATAGCCAATCCACCTACCCTGCACATCTTTGGACTGTGGGAGGAAACCGGAGCACCCAGAGGAAACCCACGCAGACACGGGGAGAATGTGCAAACTCCACACAGACAGTCACCCAAGGCTGGAATCGAATCCGGGTCCCTGCCGCTGTGAGGCAGCAGTGCTAACCAATGAGCCACTGTGCCGCCCGTGCTGCGAACATGAAAGCCAACTCGCAGCAAAATGGCACGACCAACTGTCCCTTGTTTCAATACACTCTGACATAGGAGGACATCAGTTTAACTGGGACAAAGTTACTGTACTAGGACAAGCAAAACAAAGACAAGCACGAGAATTCCTGGAAGCTTTGTTTTCAACCACTGGTGCGATAAACAAACATGTTGAAATAGACCTCATCTACATACCACCATGGTACAAAACCGGAAACAAGACTGCCCACCATGACAGACCGGACCATATAAATTCAGAGCAGGACAGAACAACTGCGCTTCAACAGAGGCTAGGCAACACTGAAGATGTCACCTAGAAGGGAGACGAAACGTTTGCACGAAAACCAGTCAGCTCAGCAAAACAACCAACAACTCCAACCACAACCCGAGCTACAGATCTTTGTTAAAGCATTAGATGACATAAGATATCAAATAAATGCAAGTTACCTGACACAATTTCAACTGAATATCCACAGGAGCACAGGAAAAAGAAAATTTCACATCATTTCCCAGGATTTTATAGATCTCTAAGATTACTGCAGATGATTAGGAGAATCCATCCAAAAATCAATGAACTAATATTTTTAATGTATATATTTAAATTCAATACAATAAGAAATTCTGTTTCGTGATAACTTACTTCAGGGAGCACCTGGATTTTGTTCCTTGGCACAGAAAGCTTCTTGAGATTAGTCAAAAATCCAATGTCATGTGGAAGTGATTTGAGTTTATTGTGTGCTAAATGCAGTTCACAAAGATGTTGTAGGAGACAAAGTTTGCTTGGAATGCTCTCAAGTTGGTTGTTGTTCACAGTAAGATATTTGAGCTGTGCCAGCCTGCAAAGCAATAATTCATTATTTGTAATGATACAGTGGTGCCCTCTACAGATCATGTCTTATTTACCAGAAAAAAATTTTAAACTGGACCTAATTTGCCAGATCTCTCTAGGATTATGTTATTGGTTAAACACTTGTAAACTGTAGAAAATAGATTTTCTTCCAAACCTATTAATATAAAACCGTTCTTTAAAGTATACTCTATTGCATTTTCATACAATGTCAGACACAAGAAGTATCCACCACAAGGAATATGCCTTACATCTAGTCTAATAGCATTCAATTTCAGTAAAATCTTGTTCTGCACATTTCTGCATACCTACGACATATGTTCCTATTGTCTGGCAATGTTGGTACATTAATCCAAAAAGTGTCAAAGTTAGTGAGTTAATATCCAGAGTTCCTAATTATTATGGACTATTTAGTTGTCCCTGCCTATGATTTGTATGTAAACACACATGATACCGAACCACGTAAACCAGAAGCTTCAGATTTAATTCCTGGGAGGTGCTGAGTTACTTAATCCAGGCCAGGATTTATTCATTACTTGTTGGAGAGTGGCCTGTGAGATGTCAGGTGAGGACAGAAAAAGGCTTGCCTGTAACATTACTGCCATTGTCAAACAATTACTAATGGCCACGTCTGGAAGAATACAAGAAGGCAGGATGTAACATTCAAGTGCTGAACAACGCTGTATCTGCAGTACTGTAGTCCAGCCACGGTCTTCACATTTGGACTAGATGGAGAAGTAACTGTGAAAATAAATAACGTTTACTTGATGCAACATATAACAATGCAATAGAAGACAAGTTCCTTTACCTGCATATCTCTTCAGGCAAGGTTGTCAACTTGTTGTTATTCAGGTTCAAGAAAGTTAGGTCTTCTAAACACTCTGAAATGACCAAAAATGTGCATTTTGGAAATGAGACGAATATTAAAAAGTATCTAGCAATTGATACTACAATATAGAAACAAAAATGAGAGCACAAAATACTGAAAATTCTGTTAAGGTCTTGCAACATTTGTGAAGAAAAAAGTGTTATCAAAAATTTCAGAGGATGACATTTCATGAGAACACTCTTCACGTATGCTGTCAGATCTGCTGAATGTTTGCAGATTTTTCTGTTTTTGGGTTTCCAACATCTGCAACATCTTCTTTTTCTGAAAAATCCAGTAAGGTTGATTTCCCCTGCTCTGGTGTCTCCCTACTTTTACCATGTTACTGCATATGAAATTGCAAAGAGAGATTTAAAACAGTAGGAAGGAAGTCCAGAAAAGGGTAATTCCATGCTGTTTTTATTGCCTTGCAATATTTAGATCAATGTAACACTGATAAAGTTAAAAGCCTGGGAAAAAAAATTGCTCAAAGGGCCCACTTGATCATGGAGTACATTGCCCTGAGATAGAAAATTAGCTTTAAAAATGGGTACAGATTCAATCTCCAAAATAACATCGACAACAACAGTAGGATGAGGAGGGCTTAGTGGATAAATGAATTTGGAAAATAATTAACTGATGTAGATTCATCCTGACTCTCTGCATTTTTCTCCTCATTCTTTTTACCATATATACATTCGTTCAATCTCCCACACAACACAGCAGTAAATACAGAAGTTGATCACAAGGTTTCATCATTATGTTTTGTATAAGACCAGTGCAGAAAATGTTAAAAAAAAAACACTCCACTGAGTTGCTGACAATTTTATACAATTCCAAAAACTGAGAGAATTCGAAAGAGGCTATCACCATACATTCCACATCTTAAAAAGAACCACCCATGTTTTCCAACTTTTTTAAGATATTCACAGCTCTATGCTACTGAAATGCACCTTTTCCCAACATAACGCAGCACCTAACCATTCTTTACTTCATCCCTCCATGTTATCATCAAATACCTATCTTTTGTCTGCTTGATACTTCCACTTTAACCTACTTGCACTGTGCCAAATCTACTTTGTAGCACTGTTATCCTAGCATTCTTACAGAAAGCAAGTTATTTCCTTCTACTTGGGATAACCTGAGCAAATAAAACTCCCAATCTTTGTCAATAATGGGCAAGATTTAGTGGAATGGAAGATAAGTGTAGTGGAACAAAGAAAAATGTCAGGAGGTGAGTGAAAAGAAGGGGAAGAATTGGTGGCTGATACCAAAGTGGTGGAGCTACTGATTTAGTGACTAAGTAAGTAGTTTTTAGAAAGACACAGGAAGAGTGCAGTAGGAATGTTTCAATCTGACACAGCATGGACTGGGGTTGTGGGGGGGCTGGTGGATTGAGGTTGTTATTAATATTTTGGATGATATTAAAAACTGTTGGCTATGCTTTCAGATAAAAAAGTAACTTTGTTTTGTAAAAGTTTATGATACTAATTTCAAGGAAAAAGAAAGAACTGCAGAAACAAAATCAGAAATTGCTGGAAAAACTCAGCAGGTCTGGCAGCATTGTGGAACAAAAGCAGAGTTAACGTTTCAGGTCCAGTGATCCTTCTTTAGATTCTGAAATGTTATCCTGAAGCATTAGCTCTGCTTTCACTCCATGGATTGACCTGCTGAGATTTTCCAGCAATTTCTGATTTTGTTACTAATTTCAAGAATGTTGGGATGTGATGAATATTATTAGTAAACATTGTATCTTTTAAAGTTCCGTTCTTTTCTATCCTTAATCCTGTAAACATATGAATTTATACTGAAATGTTGAGAATATATAAAACAAGCTGTCGATATTAATAAAAGCAAAGGTTGATAGATCAGTTGTGCATTTTTGTACAACTGATCTATCAACTGAGTTCTGATGGTCACCAGACCCGAAACGTTAACTCTGTTTTCTCCTCCAAAGATGCTGCCAGACCTGCTGATGAGCTTTTCCAGCAACTTTGTTTTTGTTGTGCATTTTTGTATATTATTTCCATTTTATAGCATTTGTTTCTCTTTCCTTCTACTTTCATATTTGTCACATTGCACAAGACCAACTAGCAAGACAGTCAACAGAGTATAAAACTGCAGCATTAGAAAGAAAAGAATCAGTCACAGCTACTTGTACTAAACCAGTTAAACCACAGGCTTCAATCATTGACATTTTTTATTTCTGCAAGTAGAAATATTTCCATCAGTTCAAACCCTTAGGAGATTAGTAAGGAAAACATCTTGAAATTACATTTGGCTGAGAAATGAAATGAACAAGAATTGCAATACAATCCGATATTCACCTTACTTGCACATTAATTGAAGAACATTCATAGTTAATTACAAATCAGAAGAGAATATTTGGCTTAAATAATTGCAAGTGACAGTGTAATGATGGTGGAAAGTTTTTTTTCAGAGACTGGAAACCATGTTACCTAATTTATTATAGATAACAAGGTGTAGAGCTGGATGAACACAGCAGGCCAAGCAGCATCAGAGGAGCAGGAAGGCTGACGTTTCGGGCCTAGACTCTTCTTCTGAAGAAGGGTCTAGGCC